TTGCTTCTGGGGGTCAAATGGCTTTGAGACTAAAAACCGTCTCTGTCATGTGTTACTAGCTGTGGCACCTTGGACAAGTTACCTAATGTCTCTGAAATTTAGTTTCTTCACTTGTAAGGCAGGGATAATAATACCTCAAAAACTAATAAATAGTCAGAATTAAACCAAATCATCTATGTCAAATGTTTGGTCCAGGGCCTGGCACATAGTAGGTGTTCTGTGGTTGGAATCTATAATATTACTAATATTAACCAAGATTGATTGTGTACTCACTATAGGCCAGGCACTGGCTAGACACTTTATATAAACATTTTATCCTCATAACGACTCCTTAAAGTAGGTACTATTATAACCCCATTTTACAGATGAGAAAACAGAGGTGAAGAGAGATAAGTAACTTTCCGAAGCCAAGGTAGTGGGCTGGGATCATAACCCAGGCCGTCTGACTCCAGAGCTCGAGCTCTTAAGCTGCAGTCTACACTGCCTCCCAGGTTATCAGCAGAGGCATCTGTGAACCTGCCCGATCCACTCCTGGCTCAGGCAACCTTGGGCCAGGGCAAGGGGTTGAATGCCCTCCACTTCAGCTAGGAATAGCTCTCGTTCCTCTGGGGCTTGGAGGCTGCCAAGGAGACCTCGCGAGTACGCTGAGAGCCAGTGCTTTATGTACATCAGCTTATTAGTCCTTATGACTATCTCTGAGATAGGTGTTATTACTTCCTTTTTACAGGTAAGGAAACTGAGGCTTAAAAAGTTAAATGACTTGTCCCAGTCTCATGCAGCTGAGAGGGGTCCCAGGCAGGATTCACACCCAGGTCTGGCTGACTCCAAGGCCCATGGTCCTTTCCCTATACCACGTTGTTTTCAGGATTTTCAAAGCCGTACCTGGGCTCCGCAAGTCTGCTAGGACACATCACTCCCTTCTCTCCTCCTCAACCTTGACTCAGCCATGTTCTTTATGATATATCTGCCAAAACTTCCTTCCCCCAGGCCTCTCTTTGTCCTTCCAAGAGCCTCTTAAGCTGTCAGGTGCTCTGGGGATGATGTGGACACAGGTACTCAGGGGTGTGGGACAGAGTTTGATGAGGGAAGAAGGGAAGTTTCTAGATGGGGAGGGGGCCCAGGAGGCAGGGAAGGAAGAAGTCTGTACGGGACACAAGTGTGCCTAATCCAGGTGGCAATTCTTGCTAGGAAGTTGTGGGAGCTGAGGACATGATCAGAAAGGAGTGAGGGTGTGGTTAGGAGCTGTGAAGTCAGTTTGGATCTGATCTGAAAATAATCGGTTGCTGCAGAAGGTCTGTGAGCAGGGACAGGACATCTATGTTCTATGTCCGTGACTGTAACTCAGTGGAGCCCAGCTCAGCACCAAGAGAAGACAGAACTTGGACCACGGCCTTTGGAAAACAGAGAGCATCACACTTCGACCGTCTGGTGTGCATCTCTCTCCACAGTTATTTTTGCAATGGGAGCCATGTCACATTTACCCACCCCCAACACATGCACACACATGGCACTGACATGAACCCCGCTCCTAACAGATCTCCCCCACTCAGCCTTCTGCAGTGAAGACCACTCACCGCCCGCATCCAGCTCTGTGGAGAAGACGACAGCATCCTCCACCTTGACCTGGTAGATGCCGGCATCCTCAGGCCGCAGGTCCCGGATCTGGAAGTGGTAGCGTTTCCCCAGTCACCGCAGGCAGTGCTTGGTCTCATTGTCATGGCCACAGGGGATCATCTCGCCGTCCTGAGACCAGAAAAGGACGAGGGGAAGTGCAGGGACTCACTGGGTCCCCAGAGCCCCCTGCCCCAAATCCATTCTGGCTTAAACTAGCCGTTTTCTTCCATTGGCCCAGGCGCCAGACACATATTCCTGGAATCATACTGGGGATGGAGAGCATATAGTGGAGAGCAGGGCCTGGACAGTGTGGGGACAGGGATTGTGAAGTGGAGGGACATACATGCCCTAGAAACATTCACAAGACTCTTGGCATGGCGTAAAACCTCCACAGGTGTTATGCAAACAGGCCCCTGAGATTGCTGAGATTCCAGCTCAG